GGGCGGCTCGGGCACTCAGCGGCACAGGCGGCTCGTGCGGCTCGGCTCCTCAGCGGCGCAGGCAGCTCGGGTGGCTCGGGTGACGCGGGTGGCACGGGCGGTTGGGTGTCACAGCGGCGTACGGGCGGTGTGGGGCCGGGACGGCGGTGTGCGGCAGGGACAGGTGGCGCACGGGCGGTGCGGGGCCAGGACGGCGGCGTACGGCTGGGACGGGTGGCGCAAGGGCGGCTGGGAGCGGGGCCGGGACGAGTGACGCACGGGCGGCTTGGGGCCGGGACGGTGGCGAGGGGCCAGGACGGGCGGCGCACGGGCGCCGAGGGGCCGGGACGGGCGGCGCACGGCGTCGACGGGCCAGAACGGGCAGCGCGACGGCGGCGTGGGGCCTGACGGGCGGCGCACGGGTGGCGCGAGGCCGGGACGGGCGGCACACGGCGCCGACGGGCCGGGACGGGCGCCGCACGAGCGCCTAAGGGTGGCGCGACGGCGGCTCGGGGCCTGACGGGCGGCGTGCGGGCGGCTAAGGGCGGCGTGGGGCCTGGACGGGCGGCGCGCGGGCGTCTAGGGGCCGAGACTGGCGGCGCGCGGGCGGCTAAGGGCGGCGCGCGGGGCGTCGAAGGGCCGGGTCGGGCGGCGCGCGGGCGTCTGAGGGCGGCGCGCGGGCGTCTAGGAGCCGTAGGGTAGGTCGACAGATCGAGAGAGAGAGCCCGGAGCGCGCTCCGGGCAGGAAAAAAAAAAGTTCGAAGTGGTGGGCCCTAAGCACAGTTCCCAGAGGGGAACCTGCTCTATACCATGTGAAAAATAGAACGAGAATGAATGAACTATGAGTGAAGCGGGTACAAGTACTAACCCTAATTGGGTTGTACCCCCTATGGGATACCCCACTATAGCCTACACAAAAGCATAAGCTATAATATTCTGACACCCCTTGAACTTTGCACCGTTTTTCTCATCAGCACCGAGCACATTTCTCTTTTCAGCTGCTGAAAGACGAGCGTTGACCTGCTTCAACTGCTGCACCAGCATCTCCACTGTAGTTTTCAGCTCCTTAATAGTTTCATCAGCTACGGTAGCACACTCTCCCTTGCAGCTACACACCCCATTCTGCTTCTCAGGTACCACCTCCTTCCATGGCACCACGGGTACATGCCACAGCTCATCAAGCATGTCTTTGTCTTCATGCAGGTCCCACAACACACGGTCACCGAGCTTCCCCGTGAATGTCTCGGCTCCATTTGTTGCCGTGCAAACACCTGCAATTCCCAACTGCCTCACGGAAATGAGATTCCCTTTCAGCTCAGGCACCAGAAGCACATCTTGCAGGACGATTGGCTTCCCATCAGCTCCCTTGAAGGCTGCCTTGCCGACCCCCATCACTTTCATTTTGTGTCCGCACCCTGAACTCATTTCACTTATGCTCGTTCTCCCAATCTCATTGAGCAGGTTCGCCCTTGGGGTCATGTGATATGCTGCTCCAGAGTCTAGGATCCATGTGTTGAGAGGAGGTGGCTCTGCTCCCTCCTTTGCAGATGCCTTCTCGCTCCCCCCGTTCCCTTGCACATGAAAAAACTGCCCTGGAGCACGCTCATGATCCTTTCTCCTTTCCATTGCGGTCTCTGCTACGTAACCAACACCGGTCTCATCTCCATCATCATCCTCACATCCGGGAGTCCACCACTTGGGCCGCTTCCAACACTTCGCCCACGTGTGTCCCGACTTCTTGCAATACCAGCAGCTACCCTTGAACCCACGATAACTGCCACGATCATCTTCTTCTTCGTCATCATTTTTGTTGCTCTGCTTCTTGTCGCCTCGTCCGCTTCCATTCTGCCCACGTTCACCACGTCCCCGGCCATGTTCCTTGCGCCACCTGCTGCCCTGCACTCCGTACTTGCCGTCACCATCATAGTTTTGACTCAGCTGCCTTCTCCTTCTCCTCCAGTATCTTGGTTCGAACCCACTCAAGGGTCCAGAGGTTTAGGTTTTGGGGAAGGCTCAAGCCGCTTGTGAAGACCATCCATGACTCCGACAGCAGTGACAACATTTTCAAGCACTTTGTCTGCTCCGGGTAGGTGATGCCCGCAATGTGTAGCTTGGCGTACAAGTCCCGCATCTTGTTAAGAACGGGTTGAATTGGCTCCCCTTCACTCAGCCGCAATGACGCCAGCTCACGCTCCAGCATGAGCGTTGCCACCACCGACGTTGGCGCGTGCAGTTCCTTTAGCACCGCCCATGCTCGTGGCCCATTGTCAACTTCCCCCAGCAGATGCATTACGTGTGCCCTCTGGTTAAGCTCCAAAGTCTGCGACAGGAGGTAGTAGCCGGTTGACGCATGTTCGTCCCATTCTTCTTGTAGGACGGGGTCGCTCGGCCTCTTCTCATCTCCCGTCATCAGCTTCAACAAGCCGACTTGCCGAAAGTACAGCTGCATTTTCCACGCCCAATCATCGTAGCCACTGCCGTTGAACTTGTCGACAACGAAGTTCTTGAGCACATCCTTCAACAGTGAGCCCCGGCTGGTCCGCACTCCCCTTGGCGCTGAACCACCGTCATCTTGCACTCCACTGTTGTCAGAATCCCAACCACTAAACCATTGGGATAAAAGGGCTTGTTTCATTAGCGGTTCAGTGCGCCCATAACCCCCCAGGCGAACGCGCATGTAACCCTCTCCAGGATCAATCGGGCATCCACAGTGTAGATCTACTGACACCCCCCACAATGGGAGGCCCAGGACTAAGCACAGCGGCAACGGCCTACATGTGCATACACCGGGAATTGAACCGGAGACCGCTCTGATACCATGAGAAAACTGAAACGAGGATGAATGAACTATGAATGAAATGGGTACAAGTACCAACCATAATTGGGTTGTACCCCCTATGGGATACCCCCCTATTAGGCTGTAATGGGGTATCACATAGGGGGTACAACCCAATTAGGGTTGGTACTTGTACCCATTTCATTCATAGTTCATTCATCCTCGTTTCAGTTTTCTCAACTGTTAGCTCGTGTCACACATCCTTTGTTTCCACTCGACTCCATAGCGTTCTAACGGCACTCCTGAGAACCACAGCTCTGATACCACGTGTTGACCGCTATTGGGATCTAGAAGGTTCTATACACCGATAAACGCACACTTAATAATCTCCACGGGGTCACCTCCAAGGGTCCTTGGGTGCCTGGTAAACCAGCCCCTATCCAAGGGTCCGTGTTTGTAGAGAGAATTACTAAGTATAACGTTAATCGAGAGTACTAGAGTAGTCCCACTCTGAGTTGCGCAGCGTTGACGATCAATTCGGTCGTGTGCAGAAATAGCTCTTCACGTCAATACGTTGATAGAGCAAGTTAACTTACCAAAGAAATTCAGAAAATATTTCCACTAGAAAGGATTGAGAGCAATCAAGCACAAGCACACATTTTATATTTCGTCTCACATACAAGCAAAGGAAAATAGCGAAACAGTTATTTAACTGCATTCTAGAATTTCACCTTGCTATCTTGGAAAACGGTTGCTCAACTCCATGCGAATTTGGCTTGATTCTCCTCTTGAAAATACCTGTCTTCAAATTCCACATATGACAATTACCTTGCTGACTCAAATGAGTGCACTCATGAGTTCCAATTTAGCTCCTATTTGGCACTCATGAATTTCATGCGAGCAAACAGTTGTAAAACGGTTTTTACCGTTGAGAAAACGGAATAACGGTTTTGTACCTGCGTCGAAAGCATTCCGCAAAGCGGTGCCACTTTCGTGCGCAATTTGTTGTTCCGTGAGTCAACTCCGAAAAACAGTTTTTCAACTGTAAATTCCGAGCACCCTTCGGAATCCCGCAGCACCCACTCGAAACAGAGCGCATCCCTCAGGTGCGCAATCATGCACTACCAGACAAACTGGTCGTGCTGTACTGCGCGTGGGCAGGGCGATCATTCGCCCTGTCTTGTTGCGATCATTGGCCTTGCTACGCTCACAACAGTGCGTGAGCACACGCTCGGGCCCTCAGGGCCCACACGCGAGATCAGGACCACACGCGCGGTCAAGATTATGCGTGCTTGACCAGCGCGAAAGTCAACAGCACCCCCTTTGACCAGTCAAAGTATCGAGCCCCACAAACACCCCACGATACACCACTCGCTCGCATCGCCTGCAGAATCAGAAATATGTGAACTGGTGTGTTTTTACTGCACTTCTGTGATGCCTGATCAGCTCAGACAAGCTCTCCGCCATGGTTCCTACGATAACTTCAACTCGTGCAATGTCAAGCTAACCTTTATCAGCTTCAAGATCTGAATACATATTTTGGGTCTGCTCATCAAGGGCTTGATTTCGACACCACTTTATGTTCAAACAGAGAACATTGGTTCGTCGGGACTTCCTCTTGTGAAGATCTGTTTTCAGGTTCTTAAACTGGTTTTAAGCTCAAGACATTAAGTTGCTCTAAGGAAGCTATAATGCCCAGGCTTAGCACAAGTCATCATCGAAGCTGGAACCTGGAAAGCAACACAGACACAAGACATGAGACGAGAACATCACAAAAAACCGGGCTTGAAAACAGGCGGTTTTGGTTAGGTTTCCTGCCCAACCAAAGGAAATCCGTCGGAACATTCTCAACTTGTTCCGACGGAATTCCACCGAGTGGCGTACTGGTATCGCCACTGTATTTTCCATCGGTTTTATATCTCAAAGGGACTGGCTGACTTCCGATGGAAAGAAGACACGGTTTCCAGCGGATTTCCACCACCATCGCGCTTCGGTAGAAATGAGATTCCCTAGCAATAAACATGATAAATTATTATACTGTACAGTCAAAACATGGACAATGTAAACGTTGCAAGACCCAATTTTATTTCCTACATATTTCATACCAATAATTATTAATACGTAGCTAAACCTGAACGATTTCAAATGATACTAATTGGCTGTTTTGCTTCATCTGAAGAAAAATGTATCTACAAACATAAATTCTGTAGTCAATAGAAGCAACAAATCCGGGAAACATGTTGCGCTACTGCAGAACAATAGTCGTCGTCTTGAATCCAGCCGCGTAGTCACTCGCATCAATGAGGATGCCGTTGCCAAACACAAACACGTCCCTGTCTTCATCATAGCCGACCCCAAGGTTGGTGACGGCATGCTCCACCCACTTCCGGCACCACTTGACTTTCTCCTCGTACAATGGCCTGTTGTAGTCGGGTTTGCTGCTCAACTTCCCGTCGGCGGTCTTCTCCAAGATCGGGTATTCCAACTGCAATGAAAGAAAAGGCAATAAGATTCTGGACAGGATGGAACAAAAAATTCAAAATCAGAAACAAGGGGCTTGTACTTACAGCGAACAATGCAAACGCAATCTGGCGGGTCTTCCATACCCCCAGTGTCATGCCCGATCTCACGAATGCAGCGAAAATTCCCGCACGGAAGATTTCGCTCGAAAAAGGCCACCTCGTGTTGTCGTCTACATGCCAGCCCGGTCCCCACTCTTCTGTAAAGTTGAAAAAGGGAGTTCAGGAAAGGGTGAGTAAGGCAGGGGCGGGACAGAGATGGGGGGAAAGGAGCATGTTAGGCACCTTATACGCCCTGCAGTGGCTCTGCCAGGCAGAGAGTAAGGCAGGGGCGAGACGGAGATGGGGGGAAAGAAGCAGGTTAGAATCTTCTGTGCCTTGCAGTGGCTCTGCCAGGCAGAGAGTAAGGCAGGAGGATAACGGAGATGGGGGGAAAGGAGCACGTTAGGCGCTGCCGTGCCCTGCATTGGCACTGCTAGGCAGAGAGTAAGGCAGGGGCGAGACAGAGATGGGATGGGGGGAAAGGAGCAGGCTAGGCACCTTCTACGCCCTGCAGTGGTTCTGCCAGGCAGAGAGTAAGGCAGGGGCGAGACGGAGATGGGGGGAAAATAGCATTTTAGGCGCTGCTGTGCCTTGCAGTGGCTCTGCCAGGCAGAGAGTAAGGCAGGGGCGAGACGGAGATGTGGGGAAAGGAGCAGGTTAGAATCTTCTGTGCCTTGCAGTGGCTCTTCCAGGCAGAGAGTACGGCAGGGGGATAACGAAGATGCCGGGGAAAGGAGCAGGTTAGGCGCTGCCGTGCCTTGCAGTGGCTCTGCCAGGCAGAGAGTAAAGGAAGGGGCGAGACGGAGATGAGGGGAAGGAGCAGGTTAGGCACCATCTACGCCCTGCAGTGGCACTGCTAGGCAGAGAGTAAGGCAGGGGGATAACGGAGATGGGGGGAAAGGAGCAGGTTAGGCGCTGCTGTGCCCTTCATTGGCTCTGCCAGGCAGAGAGTAAGGCAGGGGGATAACGGAGATGGGGGGAAAGGAGCAGGTTAGGCGCTGCCGTGCCTTGCAGTGGCTCTGCAAGGCAGAGAGTAAGGCAGGGGCGAGACAGAGATGGGGGGAAAGGAGCAGGTTAGGCACCTTCTACGCCCTGCAGTGTCTCTGCCAGGCAGAGAGTAAGGCAGGGGGATAACGGAGATGGGGGGAAAGGAGGAGGTTAGGCGCTCTTGTGCCTTGCAGTTTCTCTGCCAGGCAGAGAGTAAGGCAGGGGGATAACGGAGATGGGGGGAAAGGAGCAGGTTAGGCGCTGCCGTGCCTTGCAGTGGCTCTGCAAGGCAGAGAGTAAGGCAGGGGCGAGACGGAGATGGGGGGAAAATAGCATTTTAGGCGCTGCCGTGCCTTGCAGTGGCTCTGCCAGGCAGAGAGTAAGGCAGGGGCGAGACGGAGATGTGGGGAAAGGAGCAGGTTAGAATCTACTTTGCCTTGTAGTGGCTCTGCCAGGCAGAGAGTAAAGGAAGGGGCGAGACGGAGATGGGGGGAAGGGGCAGGTAAGGCACCTTCTACGCCCTGCAGTGGCACTGCTAGGCAGAGAGTAAGGCAGGGGGATAACGGAGATGGGGGGAAAGGAGCAGGTTAGGCGCTGCCGTGCCCTGCATTGGCTCTGCCAGGCAGAGAGTAAGGCAGGGGCGAGACGGAGATGTGGGGAAAGGAGCAGGTTAGAATCTTCTACGCCTTGCAGTTGCTCTGCCAGGCAGAGAGTAAAGGAAGGGGCGAGACGGAGACGGGGGGAAGGAGCAGGTTAGGCACCTTCTACGCCCTGCAGTGGCACTGCTAGGCAGAGAGTAAGGCAGTGGGATAACGGAGATGGGGGGAAAGGAGCAGGTTAGGCGCTGCCGTGCCCTGCATTGGCTCTGCCAGGCAGAGAGTAAGGCAGGGGCGAGACAGAGATGGGGGGAAAGGAGCAGGTTAGGCACCTTCTACGCCCAGCAGTGGTTCTGCCAGGCAGAGGGTAAGGCAGGGGCGAGACGGAGATGTGGGCAAAGGAGCAGGTTAGAATCTTCCGTGCCTTGCAGTGGCTCTGCCAGGCAGAGAGTAAGGCAGGGGCGAGACGGAGGTGGGGGGAAAGGAGCAGGTTAGGCACCTTCTACGCCCAGCAGTGGTTCTGCCAGGCAGAGAGTTAGGCAGGGGGATAACGGAGATGGGGGGAAAGGAGCAGGTTAGGCGCAGCCGTGCCTTGCAGTGGCTCTGCAAGGCAGAGAGTAAGGCAGGGGCGAGACAGAGATGGGGGGAAAGGAGCAGGTTAGGCACCTTCTACGCCCTGCAGTGTCTCTGCCAGGCAGAGAGTAAGGCAGGGGGATAACGGAGATGGGGGGAAAGGAGGAGGTTAGGCGCTCTTGTGCCTTGCAGTTTCTCTGCCAGGCAGAGAGTAAGGCAGGGGGATAACGGAGATGGGGGGAAAGGAGCAGGTTAGGCGCTGCCATGCCTTGCAGTGGCTCTGCAAGGCAGAGAAGTAAGGCAGGGGCGAGACGGAGATGGGGGGAAAATAGCATTTTAGGCGCTGCCGTGCCTTGCAGTGGCTCTGCCAGGCAGAGAGTAAGGCAGGGGCGAGACGGAGATGTGGGGAAGGGAGCAGGTTAGAATCTTCTTTGCCTTGCAGTGGCTCTGCCAGGCAGAGAGTAAAGGAAGGGGCGAGACGGAGACGGGGGGAAGGAGCAGGTTAGGCACCTTCTACGCCCTGCAGTTGCACTGCTAGGCAGAGAGTAAGGCAGTGGGATAACGGAGATGGGGGGAAAGGAGCAGGTTAGGCGCTGCCGTGCCCTGCATTGGCTCTGCCAGGCAGAGAGTAAGGCAGGGGCGAGACAGAGATGGGGGGAAGGAGCAGGTTAGGCACCTTCTACGCCCTGCAGTGTCTTTGCCAGGCAGAGATTAAGGCAGGGGGATAACGGAGATGGGGGGAAAGGAGCAGGTTAGGCGCTGCCGTACCTTGCACTGGCTCTGCAAGGCAGAGAGTAAGGCAGGGGCGAGACAGAGATGGGGGGGAAATAGCATTTTAGGCGCTGCCGTGCCTTGCAGAGGCTCTGCCAGTCAGAGAGTAAGGCAGGGGCGAGACGAAGATGGGGGGAAAGAAGCAGGTTAGAATATTCCGTGCCTTGCAGTGGCTCTGCCAGGCAGAGAGTAAGGCAGGGGCGAGACGGAGATGGGAGGAACCTCGTAGATCCTATACATGGCTGCTTACTCACCGTTCCCATAGCCGATCAACAGCTCGGCGTCGTCAAGCTCCTTGGGGTCCTGGACACCATCGTGGTCGTTTTTTCTCTTGATGCCCAGTGCTACAAGCACCTTCTTGCGAAGCCTTTTGGCGATGAGGCATCGAGTGTTCGTGTAAGTGTTGGAGACCGTTTTCAGGCTTCGCTTGCATCTGAAAGTCCACAAAATCTCTAGGTGTGGAGCAGCTGCCGGTGACATCATCTTTTTTAATCCAATCAGCGTTTCGTTGTCGTTTGGGTAAAACTGGATGCCGTTTGCGCTGTTTGTCCAGAAGAAACACGTCGTCAGCTTGCTGCAAAATTTCTGCCATGGAAGCAAGGTGATGCGCGAGTATGTTACCGTTATAAGGAGGTTTGTACTCACAACGTCCACGACAAACAAGAGAACCGGCACACTGGAACAGTGAGAGTTATGAGTACACTTGGGTTTAGAAAAGAGGCGCATTCCGCATGACTCACTTGCCAGCCCCCGGTTTCCGCGTTGATGAAGTCGCGGGCAATTTCCTCCGGGGACTTTACACGCACCGGCTCCTTCACCGATTTAGACCCACCATCCTGAGTTCCGCCACCCTCCCCGTTGGCATCATGCTTGTCACATCCGGCACACCGCCTGCAGAGCTGCCCTAGCAGCTCATCCCGTAGTGCTTGCAGATCAGCCATTGTTGCATATGTATTTTGTGCAACTTTTTCACTTACAGACGCGACAGCACGCGGCCTGGGCATCCCGGCACCGATTCCTGGCCTTGGCACTGCAACCGGCCTCTGTGAACCAGTTGATGCTGCTGCATCGACTCCGTGAGAACCTGAAGATCGGCCAGCCGTTGGTGCGCGACCCTGACTGCCACTTGATGGCAGAGGTGCTGCACCCCGTGCCACACCATTCATACCACCCCCGCTGGCATTGGATTGGGATCTATCACCCATGTTCGACCCTCCAGGTTGTGCCCCTGCACGACCACCACCAGCTGATGCCATGGCACCCCATCCTCTCTGCGTATGATTGGGCTGCCCAGTGCTGCCCCCTGCACTGTTAACCCTTGGGCTGCCCCGTCCACGCCCGACTGAGACCGGGGAGTTGGGTGAGACTGCGGGGGCCAGACCTGGGATCATACGGCTTCCATGTCCTGCCGAAGTAGATGGTGCAGGTTGCCCTGCTCCTCCGAATCCCTGTCTGTACGACGCAACCCCGCCTCGGCTTGCACCACCTGCATTAAGCATGTGAGCCCGTGGTAACCCTGACATCGTTGCCCTTCCTCCACCGCCGTTGCTCATTCTAGGACGTGCAGGTGCAGGGGCTGAAGTGGCCGGGTGGGCATTGCCTGTGCCTTGAGACGCGTAGGCACTGCCGACTCGCCCTCCTGACAGGTTGAATCGCGGTGGACCAGCAGCAGTCCCTGAACCATTGGAGTGTGCCAACCCCATGTTCAGTGGGGCTGCTGCAGCTACTGGCCGAGGTCCTCCCGTTCCCACCACCGGCTGATGTGTTGGGACCACTGCCGGAGCACGTGATATGTGCTGTTGCTGGAAAATACCCAGAAACTGCTGTCCAGGTGCAGACGCCCCCAGTTGAACATGGCATATTTCCATGGGCGGGCCAACACCCGTATTCGCGATGTTAACTGCCATGCCACGAACATAGGCAACACGGGAAAAGGGTCATTTTGCGTAGGGCGCATGGACAAAGGGGATGGGGCGAGCGTAGAGTGTGAGAGCGTGTATGCTCGCGCAAATAGTGCACCGGCCCGGCATGCTCATCCGGCAACGCTACGTTCATGTGCGTGAGTAGACCAAGGCTACCATTGTCTCTCTTACCATAACAAGCAGCATGGTGATGGCCACTCATGCCAAATTTTGCCTACCTGCTGCTCCCCTTCCTCTCCCCCGTCCCGTGCCAGTAGCTCGGCCTCTGCCACCACCAGCTCCTTGTCCGCCACCCCGATTGCCGCCTCGCCCCCCCCCTCTCCCTTCGACGCGTCCTCCACCCGTCCCATCGCCATGACCTCCCCGACCTCCGGCCCTCCCTCCTCCTCTCTCTCCTCCTCTCCGTCGGCCTCTCCCTCTCCCTCGTCCTCCTCCCCTCCCTTCGCCTATCCCTTCGCCTATCCCTTTGCCTATCCCTTTGCCCAAGCCTCCGGCCAGCCAACCGTCTCGCCATCCCCCCCGACCACCGCCACGTCCTTTCACGCGCTCACCTCCGCGCTCACCTCCGCGCTCACCTCCGCGCTCACCTCCGCGCTCACCTCCGCGCTCACCTCCGCGCTCATCTCCGTGGCCCCCACCTCGCCCTCTGCCTCGCCCCACTCCACGCGCTTGCCGGGGTTGCTCTGGTATTTCTTCTTCGCGGCCACGTTTCCTCGCCGCACGTTTGGCGTTCTGCAGCATGCTTCCACGTACCGCTGCAGGAGGAGCATTCAGCGTCGCCATTGCTCTCCCCTTACCCCGCTCCAACGCTCTCTGGTCCTCAACATCCTCATCCATCGTCGACGCATGGCTCTGTTGTGTGGCCATTGCTTGCGCTCCAGGGTACATGATATTCTCAATGTCGTCATCATCTTCAGCTCCATGACTGTGCGGCTGGGTAGGTTCGCCACCTTCTCCGCCGTCGCCTGCAGCGCCGTTCTCTTCATCGCATTGGTCTTCCTCTCCCGCAACTCCATCCCCCCCCTCGCCCGCATATTCTTCCCCCTCCTCTCCCGCAACTCCATCCCCCCCCTCGCCCGCATATTCTTCCCCCTCCTCTCCCGCAACTCCATCCCCCCCGTCGCCCGCATATCCTTCCCTCTCCTCTGGCGCAACTCCATCCCCCCCCTCGCCCGCATATCCTTCCCCCTCCTCTGCCGCAACTCCATCCCCCCACTCGCCGGCATATCCTTCCCCTTCCTCTCCCGCAACTCCATCCCCCCCCTCTCCCGCATATCCTTCCCCCTCCTCTCCCGCAACTCCATCCCCCCCCTCGCCCGCATATCCTTCCTCCTCCTCTCCCTCAACTCCATCCCCCCCTTCTCCCGCATATCCTTCCCCTCCCTCTCTCCCGTCTCCTCCCCCCCCCTCTCCCGCGTAGCCTTCCCCCAATTCCGCCTGATTCTGCACCTCGTCCCCTGCGTACGCATTTCCATCTTCCCCATCGTATCCTTCACCCGCATCTGCAAATGCCGCCACCCCGTCCTCCGCAAACCCTTCTTCCCCTTCTGGGCCATTCCCCATTCCCGCTCCCATCGCGTAAACGTCTTCCGCTCCTCCCTCTTGCCAATTTTCCTCCTCGTCCGCAAACCCCTCCCCTCCTTCCATTTCTTGTCCGAACTCCTCTCCTTCCTGATTAATGTACCCTGCACCTTGCCCCTCTTCGCCTCCTCCCCCCGCGTACGCGTTGCCTTCCCCATCGTACCCTTGCCCTTTTTCTGCGTACCCTTCTTCGCCCTCGTCCTCGTACTCGCCACCATCACCCATTGTGACGGACGCCTCGAAGGCAATACACGAGCCGGTTGGTTAGCGTCAGCGAGGGATTTTCTTAACCCTGATCTCCGACGCCCATGGATGAAACACGGGAAACCGTAGCTCACGGTAAAACAGTGGTGAAGGCGACGTAGGTTGACTGCAGGTTCAGAGCAACTAAGGCAGATTGGCAAGAGAGGGAAGGGATCGGTACCAGCAAGCTAGCTTGCTGGAGGAGAGAGGGACTACAGTACCTAGCTGCTTAGCTAGGCTCGTTCGAGCTTCGTTGCTGGGGTCTTCCAACGTCTTGGCTGTACAGTGATGCCATTTGGGGTCTCCAACCAGCTGGCTCAAGCAGATGTCAACAGTAGCGATGCCAGCAAGCCAAACACGACCACTTGCGTTGAGGTGTGACAACATTTTCCAGCGGGAACGAAATCGTCGGACTCGCACCGACAACCAAGCATATTTTTCGATGAGAGCGACTATTCAGACTCCCATGGACACCCAGTGTTCCTACGTGTACGAACTAAGCACTTAAATACCGTATGCGGGCAGAGCAAGCTTGCCATAAAAGAGGGGATTGGTTGCATACCGTCGATAGAACAGGCAGGCAGCTGGTCGCAAAAGCTTCGAGAAGGAAGCCAGGCAGCTCACAATCGCGACATTGGATGCAACTTGTTCAGTCTTTGTAGTACTGTGCAACTGACGGTGGCGTGAGCGGTGAGGCTTGAACTGTTGCGGGCAATTCGCATTGTACGTGTACGTGAACAGTTCACAGGATGCGATGCAGTCTAAGGACAATGCTGCCAGGTGAGCCAAGTCTGGCGTGGCAGTAGCGCCTAGGCGAAATGGCTTGTGTGAGACTGGTGCACAGTGGGGAATACATGTTCAAACATATTCTTGCCTATAATCCATACTTTTTGAAAACAGTTTACATGGTTAACGAGCACAGCATAGTGCATGAACTACTATCCGGTTCGAAGCAGCAAGGTGTTTGAAGGGTATAAGGTGCATAATAGGTATTGAAGTGCATAGAAGGACATGAGGTGCAGCCAAGAATATGAGGTGCAGAGAAGGATATGCGGTGCAGTGAAGGATAAGAGGTGCAGAGATTGATGTTAGGTGAACGTGAGGATGTGAGGTGCAGGGATTGGTGTGAGGTGAACGTGAGGATGTGAGGTGCAGAGACTGATGTGAGGTGAACGTGAGGATGTGAGGTGCATAGATTGATGTGTGGCGAACGTGAGGATGTGAGGTGCATAGATTGGTGTGAGGTGAACGTGAGGATGTGAGGTGCATAGATTGATGTGTGGTGAACGTGAGGATGTGAGGTGCATGGATTGGTGTGAGGTGAACATGAGGATGTGAGGTGCAGAGACTGATGTGAGGTGAACGTGAGGATGTGAGGTGCATAGATTGATGTGTGGCGAACTTGAGGATGTGAGGTGCAGAGATTGGTGTGAGGTGAACGTGAGGATGTGAGGTGCATAGATTGATGTGTGGTGAACGTGAGGATGTGAGGTGCATGGATTGGTGTGAGGTGAACATGAGGATGCGAGGTGCAGAGCCTATAATCCATACTTTTTGAAAACAGATTTCATGGTTGACGAGCACGGCATAGTGCATGAACTACTATCCGGTTCGAAGCAGCAAGGTGTTTGAAGGGTATAAGGTGCGGAAAAGGTATTGAAGTGCATAGAAGGACATGAGGTGCAGCCAAGAATATGAGGTGCAGAGAAGGATATGCGGTGCAGTGAAGGGTAAGAGGTGCAGAGATTGATGTGAGGTGAACGTGAGGATGTGAGGTGCATAGATTGATGTGTGGCGAACGTGAGGATGTGAGGTGCAGAGATTGGTGTGAGGTGAACGTGAGGATGTGAGGTGCAGAGATTGATGTGAGGTGAACATGAGGATGTGAGGTGCAGAGATTGATGTGAGGTGAACGTGAGGATGTGACGTGCAGAGATTGATGTGATGTGAACGTGAGGATGTGAGGTACCGAGATTGATGTGAGGTGAACGTGAGGATGTGATGTGCAGAGACTGATGTGAGGTGAACTCGCCAATGATGTGAGGCGCAGAGATTGATGTGAGGTGAACGTGAGGATGTGAGGTTCAGAAATTTTTACGAGGTGCACATGAGTATGTGAGGTGCACAGACGAGTCATTATAAGGATATGAGGTGCATAGCAGGATATGAAGTGGAAGAAAAGGAGTGGAGTTTGGAGGGGAGGTGAGGAGGGAGCAGTTGTGCTAATGGATGCAGAGAAGGAGATGAGGGGGTGGCCGAGAGTGGGTGATGTGAACATAGGACACCGCAATACCATTGACGCACGGCACTCAATACTCGTTAGCAACGGTTTATACAAGCAAGCTCATGCGTGACAGACGCAAAGATATACTAGTCAAACAGATCCTTGATACCAACAAGCATATCATCCCAGATGCCCAGTTCGCGATTGTGCAGCGGATCCGGATCCAAAACACCTTGGCGCCACACCTCCCTGAAATGGTCCTGATGCCACTGTGCTCTGGAAACATCATGCTGCCACACCTCTCTGAGAAGATCCTGCCACCAAACATCTACGTTCGCCGTACGGGCCCTACACTTCGCTGCTCGCCGGCTGCGAACAGGATAATCCGCAACATACAAAAATAACGGATGGCCAACACCAGCCGCCGGAACATAAACGGAAGGGACCGTGTCCATGGATGGAGCCGTACAGCAAGCCGGTGTGTGCAGAAAGTCTGCAAAGTGTGTGAATGGTAGAACAGTGGGGGAGCATGGGATCAGCTGGATGTGGAACACTAGAGATTGTGGGATTGCCAATAAGGGAGGAGCACGGGAGAGAGCGATCAGCGCAACACAGGGAGAAAAGGCAAGCGTGCGCCATCTCATGGAGCACAAGCGCGCAACACGGGAGAGAGAAATAGCGCAGCATGGTGAGAACAGGGTTTGCATGCATAAATAAAACGAGCCGTGGGAGAGCTGACATAAAGCAAAGGAGAGAGCTGACATGCAGCTCGAGGGTGGAACTGAAATGCAGTATGATAGAGAGACTACTTGCAGTAACGGAGAGAGCTGACATGCAGCAAGGGGCTGGAATAGAAATGCAGTATGATTGAGAGACTACTTGCAGCAACGGAGAGAGCTGACATGCAGCAAGGGAGAGAGCTCAAACGCAGCAGAGATGAGAGCGGAAGTGCAGCACGGGCTTCAGTGAAAGCGCAGCACGGGAGAGAGTGGCCAGCACATGCAGCAAGGGAGATAGCGCAAGCGCAGCACTAGGGATAGCGCAAGCGCAGCACTGGAGATAGCGCAAGCGCAGCACCGGAGATAGCGCAAGCGCAGCACTGGATATAGCGCAAGCGCAGCACTGGAGATAACTTAAGCGCAGTACGAGGGAGTGCGGAAACGCAGCAGGGGAGAGAGCGTAGGCGCAGCACGGGTGTGAGCGGAACTGCAGCACGAGAGGTAGCTAAGGGCAGAGGCGAGCACTCCACGTTGTGATGGCAGGTGCGCGAATTTCCTGAGGTCTGCGGAGAAGTGGGTAACGGAGCTCGGCGGGGATTCCGCATCGCGAGGGTGAGGCAAGATGCGGGAGAGAATGAGCTCACCAAAAGGCTGCCCGACATCAACTGACGGTGCGCTATCCCGCGGCGCGCAGGGGAGCAAGACACGAGGATGATACTTTCGCGCAGCCTATCCAAATCTAAGGTGAGGGGATATCTGCGCAAACAACTGAGGGATCGCAACATCATGACGGGGAGAGAATGAACAGCAACAACGGAGGGTGTACGAAAGAAGAACCGTTGTTAGCGGACTAGCAGCAAAGGAATCGGATGGAGAAGCGACGAGGCAGAGGCATGTGTGGTAATGCCGCGACGGGGAGAATGTTAAGTGGATGGGTAGGGGGATCGGTGAGGTGATGGCCACTCATGCCAAATCATGGCGATTCCGCATCGCGAGGTGATGCAGTAAGCGAGGGGAGTGTAGGAGCTCACTAAAATGCGGCGAGACACCTATCGCCACTTCACGATACCGCAGCGCGCCAGGATGTTACTTTTTTACGCTTGACATAGCCCTGAACTCTAGAGCAGAGGGACACGCAGCAACAGCGCAGCTACACGCGGGATATAGCGGGAGCGTTGCCTTATCGCGTGGCTGGAGAGAATAGATCCGTGAGAATAGATCCGTGAGAAGTTTCCAGACAGTGATGAGTACCGTGCTTTGACAGACTGTAAGCTTCGAACGTCGAAGAACAAGTCTGATGCATACTAAATTCGAGAAGCGTGGGCCGGGGGTGGGGCCTGCCAGGCACTGAAGTGCTATGGTGCGTTGCTTAGCCGGTGAGGGGTGGGGGGAAACTGACACCCGTTTGACGCGATTGGTCACTGATTTCCCGCCGAACGTACTTTTCACACCACCAATCGCAGCGTTTGCCTTGTCGAGTTGGATCGGGCGGTGCCCATTACAAGCATCGGTGGATTCCTTATTATTCATGCGGTGTGGGTTTTTGTAATGTGAACAGCTATCTGTACTCCAACGCCTGCGTCACTTATTAACACGATATACCCAGACGTGAACAATACGAGTAATTCGAGTGACACAGCATCGCGGATAAAACGTTCCCGCGCCGCCATCTCGCATACATAGTGCTTTACTCAGGCGTATTCCAAGAATCCGAAGAGAGTCAGGTCATTGAGGCTTTGTGTCATCCGAAATTGTGAGATCGATTAGAACAATTCAAAGCTCGAAACTCGAGTTTCCCGATTGGCTCTCACAATATCGGATGTCACAAACACGGAATGACAGGAAGCTAGAAATACGCCCTCACTAGGGCGAATCGAATTTCAAACTAGTAAATCCAAATGTAGGTACGTGCATTGTCGTCGCCTTGCGCGTCGTGCTGCCGAGTCAACCGCCATCACCCTCTCCTTATCTGTATGATGAGTAGGGCGAGGCTAGATTCTGGTGGATGTGCATGATAGAACTCACCTCCTCGTTTTCTATTCTCCTGGCTTGTCAATATTGATTCATAGACTTCCACTCACCAGCACCACGTTTTCTATACATGATATTCGCACGTGATACTCGCTTAGCTCGTCACGCTACGAATAAATATGGCCCTCGCGCTTCACCGAGATGACTAACGGAGCTCTACGCGCTAGAACCTGTGAACAAGCACCAGAACAGCTTGCCCAATCTCTCCGCTACCTGGCTCTCGCGTAAACTTCCTTCCGCGGTAACTGTCCGTTGTACTCGTTGGTCGCGCGGCTCGCGTGCGTCACCCTTGCTCCTTCTACCGCGTAAACTTAGACCGCAACAACCAGATAATGCCCACGCTGTCAGGAACTCGTGTCATGAGGCCGTCTAGGTTTTCAGTCGACGGACCGCCATAGATAGCATGAATCCCAACAGAATTCGTTGCTTATTTTGCAAAGAGTGGTTTCGAAGTGCGCAAGTCTTTGGCCAGCACAAGGCCTGGGCCGGAACGTGCCGTGAGAAATATGCTGCACGGCAGTGTGGTAGGCCGTCCGCGCAAGAACATCATGTTCTTGTCACCTCGCCCGTCCCTGATGCGAGAAATCATGCGGATCAAGAACCGGCCACTAACGTGCGTGAGGATCACGTACTCGTGCAAGACGCGGGGGATAACTCTGCTGGCAGCAACTCCTCATGTTCTTACATTGAGCATGAGCTGCCATCTGGGCCCACGAACGAGGATACTGCAGCATCATCTCCGGGTACCACTAACTGCAGAAATGCTGACCCACCCCCTTCCATCCCAACGAGCTTCGGGAGGCCCCCGCCCACCAATCCTGCAGCCCTCCGTTTTCTGCATTTTGTGCGGAAAGCCAACGGCCGCCTCGGTTTGGCAGAGACTGACATCAACGCCCTGCTGCAGCTTCTTATGGTTCCCGAGCTTGCACAGAAGGTACTCGAGGAGTACACCAACTGCAGGGAGCTCGAGCGATTCGAGCTTAGCCAACTGCAAGGGCTAGGCCGTGGGTACTCCACTGTAACCTTCAAGGTCGCGGGCTTCCCAGCACAGACGCTGTTTTTCCGCAACTCATTGCAGGTCCGTGTGGTGACTGTTCCTTACCTTTTTGTGCTTTCGATGCAAGTAGCAATGTGATGCGAAGATGATACACCCTCTATTTTCTGCCTCGCAGGCGCTTGCCAACCTGTTTGGGGATCCCCGCAATGCATCGGGGTTCGTTCTGAAGCTGCGGGAGGACTATGACCCTGAAACCAAGGAGAGGAGGTACACCACGCCGGAGACGGGGACATGGTGGCCTGAGGCGCAGGTGAGATTGCAACTCGGCCCGATTGCACCTATTCCCCCCTCCCCCCTTCCCCCCCTACCATCACCATGCTTGTCTCTATAACTATCGTCCAGGAGAGGGACAGAGGTGGGCGGACAGGGGAGAGGAGGTGTGAGATATTCACCGCCATGCTCCTCCTTGCTCCACCCCTGCACTTATTCCCCCTTCCCCCCCTACCATCCCCATGCTTGTCTCTCTAAACATCGGCCAGGTGAGGGACAGAGGTGGGCGGACAGAGGAGAGGAGGTGTGAGATATTCACCGCCATGCTCCTCCTTGCTCCACCCCTGCACTTATTCCCCCTTCCCCCCCTACCATCCCCATGCTTGTCTCTCTAAACATCGGCCAGGTGAGGGACAGAGGTGGGCGGACAGAGGAGAGGAGGTGTGAGATATTCACCGCCATGCTCCTCCTTGCTCCACCCCTGCACTTATTCCCCCTTCCCCCCCTACCATCCCCCTGCTTGTCTCTCTAACTATCGGCCAGGAGAGGGACAGAGGTGGGCGACAGAGGAGAGGAGGTGCTGGGTACTAACCATACGGCTACCTTTTGCTACACGATTATTTTTGCATCCCTATTTTTGGTTCTCTTTACCTTAAACGTCAGGCGGAGCTTGGACCAGACGTGGTTATTGCTGGTATAATTTTGTACAGTGACGTCACACACCTCAGCAACAATGGCAAGAAGAAGGCACATCCGGTGATGATGAGCATCGTCAACATCTCGCAAGGCAAGCGCTGGGCATCTTCTGGCCATGTGCTCTTGGGGAATCTCCCCATACCACCGGCTGGCATGAGCTCCGCACAAAGCACGGATTTGTTTCACAAAGCCGTTGAGCTCATGCTTAAACCCATCCTTGATGGCTTGAAAAGGTAATGTTTGCAAATCGAACCCCGATTGCCTATCGTAATTTACACGTAACCAATTCCCGTTGTCCTTCAATGAACTCATTGCCCACAATGCCGTTGTCATGCGGTGGTAATTCCATGCTCCATTCCTTCGCACTCGCCAAGTATCAAACACTCCAGTGCACATGTTCTCAGAGCCGCATTTGGTCCCTTTAAATGCAGTGGCTTCATGATGAAGGACCCAAATGGCGTTGAGCACCATGTGATACCCATCCTGTACGCGTGGGTGTGTGATTTTCCCGAGAGCTGCAAAATTACATGCACGCTTTCTGGTGCTACCAATCGGCCGTGCAGCATATGCTATGCTCACAAGGTATGTGGCACTTTGTTTAGGCAATCTACCATCAATCAAACTATAACCCAATGACATATAAATCGCGTATGTTAGTCTTGGCTGGGTTTTGTAGTCAATGGTGCTCCCTCTCGTTCGTGCAGGATCACTTGTGTGCCGTGTCAGCCCCTAACGTCTCACGCACTCCAGTGCAACAGCGCTGGATCAAGGAAAACTGGTACAAGGTGGTACAAGTGCAGCCGCGGAAAACACTTGGGATGGAATATTCGACGTTCGACGTGGATGTAAGTGGGACGAACGACAATTTATGAACGGCCCCACATATTTGCCATCCACTAATAAGCCATCCTCTCTGCCATAACATGTGCCCACCACTCTCTCTGCCATCTTATGTGCTCACCACTCTCTCTACCATCTCATGTGCTCACCACTCTCTTTGCCATCTCATGTGCTCACCACTCTCTTTGCCATCCCATGTGCTCACCACTCTCTCTACCATCTCATGTGCTCACCACTCTCTCTACCATCCCATGTGCTCACCACTCTCTCTACCATCTCATGTGCTCACCACTCTCTCTGCCATCCCATGTGCTCACCACTCTGTCTGCCATCCCATATGCTCACCACTCTCTCTGCCATCTCATGTGCTCACCACTCTCTCTGCCATCTCATGTGCTCACCACTCTCTTTGCCATCACATGTGCTCACCACTCTCTCTGCCATCTCATGTGCTCACCACTCCCTCTGCCATCTCATGTGCTCACCACTCTCTTTGCCATCTCATGTGCTCACCACTCTCTCTGCCGTCTCATGAGCTCACCACTCTCTCTGCCATCCCATGTGCTCACCACTCTGTCTGCCATCCCATGTGCTCACCACTATCTCTACCATCTCATGTGCTCACCACTCTCTCTGCCATCCCATGTGCTCACCACTCTGTCAGCCATCTCATGTGCTCACCACTCTCTCTGCCATCTCATGTGCTCACCACTCTGTCTGCCATCCCATGTGCTCACCACTCTCTCTACCATCTCATGTGCTCACCACTCTCTCTGCCATCCCATGTGCTCACCACTCTGTCAGCCATCTCATGTGCTCACCACTCTCTCTTCCATCCCATGTGCTCACCACTCTCTCTGCCATCTCATGTGCTCACCACTCTCTCTGCCATCCCAGGTGCTCACCACTCTGTCTGCCATCCCATGTGCTCACCACTCTCTCTGCCATCCCATGTGCTCACCACTCTCTCTGTCATCCACGGTGCTCACCACTCTGTCAGCCATCTCATGTGCTCACCACTCTCTCTGCCATCTCATGTGCTCACCACTCTCTCTACCATCTCATGTGCTCACCACTCTCTCTGCCATCCCATGTGCTCACCACTCTGTCTGCCATCCCATGTGCTCACCACTCTCTCTGCCATCCCATGTGCTCACCACTCTCTCTGCCATCTCATGTGCTCACCACTCTCTCTGCCATCTCATGTGCTCACCACTCTCTTTGCCATCCCATGTGCTCACCACTCTCTCTACCATCTCATGTTCTCACCACTCTCTCTACCATCTCATGTGCTCACCACTCTCTCTGCCATCCCATGTGCTCACCACTCTGTCTGCCTTCCCATGTGCTCACCACTCTCTCTGCCATCTCATGTGCTCACCACCCTCTCTGCCATCTCATGTGCTCACCACTCTCTCTACCATCTCATGTGCACACCACTCTCTCTGCCATCCCAGGTGCTCACCACTCTGTCTGCCATCCCATGTGCTCACCACTCTCTCTGCCATCTCATGTGCTCACCACTCTCTCTGCCATCTCATGTGCTCACCACTCTCTTTGCCATCACATGTGCTCACCACTCTCTCTGCCATCTCATGTGCTCACCACTCCCTCTGCCATCTCATGTGCTCACCACTCTCTTTGCCATCTCATGTGCTCACCACTCTCTCTGCCGTCTCATGAGCTCACCACTCTCTCTGCCATCCCATGTGCTCACCACTCTGTCAGCCATCTCATGTGCTCACCACTCTCTCTGCCATCTCATGTGCTCACCACTCTCTCTACCATCTCATCTGCTCACCACTCTCTCTGCCATCCCATGTGCTCACCACTCTGTCTGCCATCCCATGTGCTCACCACTCTCTCTACCATCTCATGTGCTCACCACTCTCTCTACCATCTCATGTGCTCACCACTCTCTCTGCCATCCCATGTGCTCACCACTCTGTCTGCCATCCCATGTGCTCACCATTCTCTCTGCCATCCCATGTGCTCACCACTCTCTCAGCCATCGCATGTGCTCACCACTCTCTCTGCCATCTCATGTGCTCACCACTCTCTCTGCCATCTCATGTGCTCACCACTCTCTCTGCCATCTCATGTGCTCACCACTCTCTTTGCCATCACATGTGCTCACCACTCTCTCTGCCATCTCATGTGCTCACCACTCCCTCTGCCATCTCATGTGCTCACCACTCTCTTTGCCATCTCATGTGCTCACCACTCTCTCTGCCGTCTCATGAGCTCACCACTCTCTCTGCCATCCCATGTGCTCACCACTCTGTCAGCCATCTCATGTGCTCACCACTCTCTCTGCCATCTCATGTGCTCACCACTCTCTCTACCATCTCATCTGCTCACCACTCTCTCTGCCATCCCATGTGCTCACCACTCTGTCTGCCATCCCATGTGCTCACCACTCTCTCTGCCATCCCATGTGCTCACCAATCTCTCTACCATCTCATGTGCTCACCACTCTCTCTTCCATCCCATGTGCTCACCACTCTCTCTGCCATCTCATGTGCTCACCACTCTCTCTGCCATCTTATGTGCTCACCACTCTCTCTACCATCTCATGTGCTCACCACTCTCTCTGCCATCCCATGTGCTCACCACTCTGTCTGCCATCCCATGTGCTCACCACTCTCTCTGCCATCTCATGTGCTCACCACCCTCTCTGCCATCTCATGTGCTCACCACTTTCTCTACCATCCCATGTGCTCACCACTCTCTCTACCATCTCATGTGCTCACCACTCTCTCTGCCATCCCATGTGCTCACCACTCTGTCTGCCATCCCATGTGCTCACCACTCTCTCTGCCATCCCATGTGCTCACCAATCTCTCTGCCATCTCATGTGCTCACCACTCTCTCTTCCATCCCATGTGCTCACCACTCTCTCTGCCATCTCATGTGCTCACCACTCCCTCTGCCATCTCATGTGCTCACCACTCTCTTTGCCATCTCATGTGCTCACCACTCTCTCTGCCGTCTCATGAGCTCACCACTCTCTCTGCCATCCCATGTGCTCACCACTCTGTCTGCCATCCCATGTGCTCACCACTCTCTCTACCATCTCATGTGCTCACCACTCTCTCTGCCATCCCATGTGCTCACCACTCTGTCAGCCATCTCATGTGCTCACCACTCTCTCTGCCATCTCATGTGCTCACCACTCTCTCTACCATCTCATCTGCTCACCACTCTCTCTGCCATCCCATGTGCTCACCACTCTGTCTGCCATCCCATGTGCTCACCACTCTCTCTGCCATCCCATGTGCTCACCAATCTCTCTGCCATCTCATGTGCTCACCACTCTCTCTTCCATCCCATGTGCTCACCACTCTCTCTGCCATCTCATGTGCTCACCACTCTCTCTGCCATCTTATGTGCTCACCACTCTCTCTACCATCTCATGTGCTCACCACTCTCTCTGCCTTCCCATGTGCTCACCACTCGGTCTGCCATCCCATGTGCTCACCACTCTCTCTGCCATCTCATGTGCTCACGACCCTCTCTGCCATCTCATGTGCTCACCACTCTCTCTACCATCTCATGTGCACACCACTCTCTCTGCCATCTTATGTGCTCACCACTCTGTCTGCCATCCCATGTGCTCACCACTCTCTCTGCCATCCCATGTGCTCACCACTCTCTCTGTCATCCACGGTGCTCACCACTCTGTCAGCCATCTCATGTGCTCACCACTATCTCTGCCATCTCATGTGCTCACCACTCTCTCTACCATCTCATGTGCTCACCACTCTCTCTGCCATCCCATGTGCTCACCACTCTGTCTGCCATCCCATGTGCTCACCACTCTCTCTACCATCTCATGTGCTCACCACTCTCTCTACCATCTCATGTGCTCACCACTCTCTCTGCCATCCCATGTGCTCACCACTCTGTCTGCCATCCCATGTGCTCACCATTCTCTCTGCCATCCCATGTGCTCACCACTCTCTCTGCCATCTCATGTGCTCACCACTCTCTCTGCCATCTCATGTGCTCACCACTCTCTTTGCCATCCCATGTGCTCACCACTCTCTCTACCATCTCATGTGCTCACCACTCTCTCTACCATCTCATGTGCTCACCACTCTCTCTGCCATCCCAGGTGCTCACCATTCTCTCTGCCATCTCATGTGCTCACCACTCTCTCTGCCATCCCATGTGCTCACCACTCTCTTTGCCATCCCATGTGCTCACCACTCTCTCTGCCATCCCATGTGCTCACCACTCTCTCTGCCATCCCATGTGCTCACCACTCTCTCTGCCATCTCATGTGCTCACCACTCTCTCTGCCATCCCATGTGCTCACCACTCTCTCTGCCATCTCATGTGCTCACCACTCTCTCTGCCATCTCATGTGCTCACCACTCTCTTTGCCATCACATGTGCTCACCACTCTCTCTGCCATCTCATGTGCTCACCACTCCCTCTGCCATCTCATGTGCTCACCACTCTCTTTGCCATCTCATGTGCTCACCACTCTCTCTGCCGTCTCATGAGCTCACCACTCTCTCTGCCATCTCATGTGCTCACCACTCTCTCTGCCATCTCATGTGCTCACCACCCTCTCTGCCATATCATGCCTACCCGTCCCCTTCCCCTCCCCTCCAATGCGCCCCCCCCTCCTATCATCAATGTTGTAACACTTTGCCTTTGCTTGCAGTCGTCCTTGTGGCTGTGGGACGTTTGGGGGAAACCGTGGGGAAATCCTTACCTCGTCATCATGCCCGACATAATGCACCAAGCGGACCTTGGGATTCTCCATCACATAGTTGCTGCGATCCGCTTCAACTACGAAAAGTTGCTGCCTTTGTTTGACAGGTTGGATTTGGTGGTTGTGAGATGGCATGTGGTCGAATATGCATGGCTATATGACACGGCAATCATTGTTTTTACATGTTGTTGTGCCAGTGGATCGTCGTCGGTAATGTACCGTGTTTTCACCATCAGTATGTCATTTTGTCATGTTCAGGTGTTGAAGGACCTGAGAGAAATCATTCGCATGACTCATCTTCGGCTACCAAATTCCTCGTACTTCGTGTCCGATGCACAGGTGGCGGCCTTTGAGCATCGGTCTGTCCTGCAGGCAAGTGCCACTAATCTGGGCACAATTTATAGTGTTATGCTCCCCACCCCATTCTTAACTCCTACCACGTTGACCTTCAACACCTACATACCACACGCCCCCTTACACAACTCATGGTTTGCGAGATTCACATTTGATGTAACCTGGACTGTATGTTACCTTCCCTGAGTCCACAGGTGCTGATTTTTGTGGTTGCGGACAAGCTCGGGGACCTCCAGCTGAGCGCCATTCGAGCATACCTCGAATGGTATCACTATTGTGCAAGGCTCCCCGGGCACACAGAGAGCACCCTTCAGCGTCTCCAGGAGTTGACCGACGAGTGAGCCCTCGCCTTCCACCCATTCGTGCATATCCTTGTGCCCACCCTTGGCTGTTTCGATCCATCTCGTAGACACGCTGCCCCCCCTTTTGTTTTTGGCCCGTCATGGTTCGGGGCTTAATTTACATCCCTTCAATGAACACAGCCGCTACCAGGGCATATTTCTTCCTGCCACTTGGACGAGTGGCAAAACCGTGGAGGGCGGGAAGGGCACCCCCCTGCACGGCACTCCGTCATGCTTCTGACCTCCCCACACGTACTCGCAAGTCAGCCCCTTGTATGCCCTTCTTTCCCTGCCAATAACAGGTAGGGGCAGAGGGGAGTAGGGTGAGAGAGGCAGAGGTGTGTGTGGAGCTTTGTTATGCTCATCTTGCATCACTCTGCGCTGCTACACTTACCAGCCCCTTATGTGCCATTCACCCCATTCACTCCACATCGTATATGAACAGTCTTGTGGCAAAGTTGCAAGATGCGTTTCCAACGCAGAAATCGGCATGGTGCATCATCAAGACTCACCTCCTCTCGCATTATGTTCCCGCCATTCGGAGGGCGGGTCATGTGTCGGAATTCTCGACAAACATGTGGGAGCACTTGCACGGTCCTCTTTTGAAGAGAATATACCGCAGATCCAACAAACGCAACGCCGACGCACAAATCATGAAGCATCACGAGAAAAGTGCGGCTTTCATCACGCTCGAGGACGAGGAAGGGGTTCGGTACACGATAATGCAGCAGGTAACTAGATCATTCGAACCTGCGTTTTGAATCAAACCTCTCTTTCTGCTATGGGGTGATTTGGGTTCAATGTCTCTGCCCTCTCATGCCACCATCAACAAGTTTTATCCCTCTCATGCCATCCTAAACCTGATTCTTCCACCCCATGCCATCATCATCCTCTCCACCCTCGGATGCCTTTCTCAACATCCCTGCCCTGCCATGCCATCATCAACATCCCTGCCCTCACATGCCATCATCAACATCTTTGCCATCCCATGCCATCATCAACATCCCTGCCCTACCATGTCATCATCAACATCCCTGCCCTCCCATGACTTCGACATATCTGCACTCCCATGACATCATCAACATCTTTGCCATCCCATGCCATCATCAAAATCCCTGCCCGCTCATGCCATCATCGCCATCTCTGCCCTTCCACGCCTCCATCAATCTCCATGCCATCCCATGCCATCACAATCCTCTCCACCCTCTGATGCCTTTCTCAACATCCCTGCCCTACCATGACATCATCAATATCCCTGCCCTCCCATGCCATCATCATATCTGCCCTCCCATGCCATCATCAACATCCCTGCCCTCCCATGCCATCATCAACATATCTGCCCTCCCATGCCATCATCAACATCCCTGCCCTCCCATGCCATCATCAACATATCTGCCCTCCCATGCCATCATCAACATCCCTGCCCTCCCATGCCATCATCAACATATCTGCCCTCCCATGCCATCATCAACATCCCTGCCCTCCCATGCCATCATCAACATATCTGCCCTCCCATACCATCATCAACATCCCTGCCCACCCATGCCATCATCAACATCTTTGCCATCCCATGCCATCATCAACATCCCTGCCCTACAATGCCATCATCCACATCCTTGCCCTACCATGCCATCATCAACATCCCTGCCCTCCCATGCCATCATCAACATATCTGCCCTCCCATGCCATCATCAACATCCCTGCCCTCCCATGCCATCATCAACATATTTGCCCTCCCATGCCATCATCAACATCCCTGCCCTCCCATGCCATCATCAACATATCCCCCCTCCCATGCCATCATCAACATCCCTGCCCTCCCATGCCATCATCAACATATCTGCCCTCCCATACCATCATCAACATCCCTGCCCACCCATGCCATCATCAACATCTTTGCCATCCCATGCTATCATCAACATCCCTGCCCTACCATGCCATCATCCACATCCTTGCCCTACCATGCCATCATCAACATCCATGCCCTCCCATGCCATCATCAACATATCTGCCCTCACATGCCATCATCAACATCCCTGCCCTCCCATTCCATCATCGACATATCTGCCCTCCCATGCCATCATCAACATCTTTGCCATCCCATGCCATCATCAAAATCCCTGCCCGCTCATGCCATCATCGCCATCTCTGCCCTTCCACGCTTCCATCAATCTCCATGCCATCCCATGCCATCATCATCCTCTCCACCCTCTGATGCCTTTCTCAACATCACTGCCATCCCATGCCTTCACCCACACTTCTTGCCCCTATTGAGTTCATTCCATTCGCATTCCAGAGCGGTAATTTCCCTCCCCTTCTAAAATCACCCATAGGCAATGGACTCGGGGCGGCCAGTCTTGACGAGAGAATCAGAAGCACTTGCTGTTTCTCCGGCAAGTGACCCGACATCGGCCAAATTCTTTGCATCACGGTGGTCGCAGCAGCACCTGCATGCACACAGAGCTCTGACTGATGCCCTTGCAGATTACGGCATTACCTCGCCAACCATTCAAGTATGTAGTGATGGTGTTGATAACCTTGTTGTCTCTTGCCCTTCCCCCCCGTGCCTTCCCTTCCCTTCCCCCACCTCTCTCTCTCTCTCCCTCTCTCTCTCTCTCTCTCTCTCTCTCTCTCTCTCTCTCTCTCTCTCTCTCTCTCTCTCTCTCTCTCTCTCTCTCTCTCTTTCTCTCTCTCTCTCTCTCGCCATCTTAAAGCCCTCTCAACTACTCTTACCATGCGAGTTGTACGTACATATACTTATGCCTACTGTGTGGTGTTGTGGCAGACACATACAACATTGGCAGTGCCAGCATCCAATGCATCAAACGCCTCAAGAGTTGCTCATTTTGTGAGAGCAACTCCCGAGTGCCACAAGAGGCCCTGGTTTTCAGACATCGCTGTTTGCTGTGAAGGGGGGACTGTGGCCTACGCAAAGCTGTTGCTGTTGTTTCATTGTTTCCAAGGTGGGCAACGCCATGAACTTGCATACGTGGATTATTACCGGAAATTGGGCAATGACCCAAGGACTGGATGTGTGCGCATTGGTCAGTACACCCCTCGCGCATTCACTGTTATCCCTATCGATTCTATTCTAGGCCATGTTCATGTAGTGAAGTCCTTTGATGGGGATGATGGTGATGTATACTATATGAATAAATATATAATGTAGCTATGTTTACTATTGACAAAAATGATGTTGCTTCTTTTGTCCTTTTGCTAAAACATAACACGTTAAAAAAAAAAAACACTCAAACCTTCCTATTTGCAACGATATAGAGCTATACATCCACCTTAAAAACCGTTGTACAACCTAAAAAGCATGTAAATAGATTGCTGCATTAATTTCTTTGATGATAACCTTTTGAATAGAAACAGCTTTAAAATGTAAAACTCATAAGAACATAAATATCTGATTGCGTCAAGTGTGATGCGAAGACTGTACGCATTCTAAATATATCACTGTTCCATCACCAAACCATCCCTGTTTTTTCCGATGAGAATCCGCCGGAAATCAGGACAGCCCGTGAAGAACTTCGCGCGACTCGGTTTTGCCTCTCAACCTCGCGCAAAACAAAACCTGGCGAGTAGATTTCCATCGGAAAAGCGATATGCTTGAGGGTCGGAAATCAGCCGGAAAACCGAGCACGGCAAATTACCTTGAGTGCCACCTCGGACCCTCCAACCCTGACTTCGGTTTTTTGTGATGAAAGTACAAGGCAGCTGGACCGCCAAATATTTTTCGCCTATCAATCTTCTCTGCCATTCTTCGACAAGAGACAAGAAATGAAACGTCTCGTTACCCGCGGACATGTTTATTACCACCGTCAAGAGCGACTAAATCCGGATCAGCGATGGTTTCTGACGAGACAGGGTATACATCCTGTTTGCAGCAAACGCAAAGTGAAGGACATTTAAAATGGCTCCCGCGAAGAACTACAAGTGCAACACTTTCTGCCTTCCTACATCGTTCACGATTCACAGGAGCTTCACGCTCGTCACAGCAACGCACGACAAGGAATAACTACGAATCTGAACCAAGATCATGTTCCAAACGATCGACTCTGACCATATCAGTTCAAGAACTACCAATATTCCGAATGGCTTTACTATCAACTCAAGAAGAAAGTTTCTCTATATTTCTTGGCGACGAGTTATGGCAACATGATGTTGACATGAAGAAGCATATCATGGTGGATTCTACGGAAGAACATTTTCAGGATAAGCCTATGTCGCTGGAGGAAACAGGGCTATGGCGCCATGTTACGACTGCGGTGTGTGAAGCTACTCAAAATTCTGTCGCGGATGCAGCTGCTCCTATCTTCCCTCAGAAAGTGGGGGTTGCCCCCAGCATTCAGCTCACGCAACTGCCTGCCATAGGAGGCTTTGGTGTACGGGGCACAGCTGCTAGGCAGCAACTTCGAACCAGGGCAATTTCTGCTCTCCCAACCCAACCCCACCACTCTCGGCAAATCAGATTTGGAGCCAAAGGACCAAGACTGAACATCCGTCACCAAAGTCCTGCACGGCAGCAATTTCGAACCAGGGTTTTCTCTGTTGGAACCCAACCTTTTTACAAGGCACGGCAGGGCAGGCTCGGAGCCAATTCTTCCAAGCTGAAGCAACAGATACAGAACCTGGAACCTACCGAGGCGTTTCTGCTAGAGTTGAAGTGTGGCAACGGCATAGTTAGATTTTGTGGCGGGCAAGTTGAAGTTTTTAGGCATTCGGTCTATAAGCCTTCGTAGATTTCTACGAGGGTACGGTATACACTACCTATGCCCTCTAGCTCCGGTTACGACCGACGGTGTTTTGCGTTGTACGTTGTATAATGCATTTCCACCTACCAAAAAAAAAAAAACCACTCGCTCGCATATGCCACGCATGAAACATAGCAAGCAAATGGGACTTTCATGTGAGGCTCATTTGAGCCTCATTTGACAGCTTCGCATGAGCCTCATTTGAGAGCTTCGCGTGAGCCTCATTTGAGCGCTTCATGAGAGCCTCATTTGAGCGCTTCATGAGAACTTCATTTGAGCTCATCATGTGAGCCTCATTTGAGCGCTTCATGAGAACAGTGAAACTGCAAATGAAAATGCACTAACACAAAATGCAATTATGAATGAAAACGAAACACACAAAATGCAAAAACGAATGCGCACAGAACACACACAAAATGCGCAAGCACAAAATGCAAAATGAAAGGACATTTCTCACGCCACAACTTACCTTCAAACAAGACTCCCCAATTTTTTTTACCGTCTTCGAATAGGCGGTAGGTTGACGTGCAAACATTCATGCCCTTTTCCCCTTCAGATCATTCCCTTTCACCCTCTGTCCGTTCCCTTCCCCCCATTCCAAGCATTCCCTTTCCCCCCTCTCTCCGTTCCCTTCCACATTCCCTGCATTCTCTTTCTCCCCCTCTCTCCGTTCCCTTCCTCATTCCAAGCATTCTCTTTCCCCCCCTCTCTCTCTATTCCCTTCCCCCTTCTGAGCATTCCCTTTCCCCCCTCTTGCCGTTCCCTTCCCCATTCCCTGCATTCCCTTCCCCCTCCTCTCTCCGTTCCCTTCCCCATTCCAAGCATTCCCTTTCCCCCCCTCTCTCCATTCCCTTCCCCCTTCTGAGCATTCCCTTTCCCCCCTCTCTCCGTTCCCTTCCCCATTCCAAGCATTCCCTTTCCCCCCCTCTCTCCATTCCCTTCCCCCTTCTGAGCATTCCCTTTCCCCCCTCTCTCCGTTCCCTCCCCCCCCCCCCCCCCCTCTCTTCATTCCCTTCCCCATTCCAAGCATTCCCTTTCCTCCCCTCACTCCATTCACATCCCCCTCCTGACCATTCCTTTTCCCCCCTCTCTTCGTTCCCTCCCCCCATCCGATATGCCCTTGCCCCCCCCTCTCTCCATTCCCTTCCTCTTTCTGAGCATTCCCTTTCCCCCCTCTCTCCGTTCCCTTCCCCATTCCCTGCATTCCCTCCCCTCCCCCCTCTCTTCGTTCCCTTTGTCGTGCCAACACACTATAGTAGCACGTTCATCGCACTCCCATTCGGAATTTTGTGGGGAGGTGCTTCAACATGTGTTCTTCACACCCTCAAAGTTTCAGAATTTTCGAAGAAGTTTACAAGGCATGGCCACTTTTTTAGTTTCAAGACTTATGGCATCCCGGAAGTGTGTGTAACTCTTTTTTGGTAACACCCGAGTTCACCATTTCGGCTGCTGACTCATCTACCAAGCTCTGATTGGTCTGAAAATAGTTGTGGCATTCCTTTGCCGTGGTTTTCAGGTGGTCACCGAATTTCAAGACAACCCAGCATCGGAGGAGCATGTGACAGCTGTCGAAAGTTACTGTTCCGTAGTCATGGTGCACTGTTGGCAGCATTTCCCTTGCCACCCTTTTATTGTTGTCATGCCAATGGTGCAGGGACAGAGAGTGAGACAAGAAGTACAGGTGGTCAAGTGGGACTCTACCACTCTCCTTTTGAGAAGTGTGGTCTTCCTGAAAGCAGCTTGCAAGAGGGTGCAAGTGGGAGGACAAGCTTACTCATGGTTGCCTCGACACACTATTGGTAGCCTTGAGTACAGCTCTGAACATCCAAGTGTGGTTGGCTTTGCTGACCTAGCTAGGACGTTTTCCATCCTTCTCTAGCCTTCTCTCTTGACATCCGACCCCCTCCCTTCTCCTCTCTGCCCCTCCCTCCTCTTCTCTGCCCCTCTCTCGGCTTCTCTGACCATCGCTTGCCATCCCAGCCCCTCCCTCCTCTTCATTGCCCCTCTCTCGGCTTCTCTGACCATTGCTTGCCATCCAAGCCCCTTCCTCCTCTTCTATGACCCTATCTCGGCTTCTCTGACCATCGCTTGCCATCCCAGCCCCTCCCTTGGCTTCTCTGCCCCTCTCTCGGCTTCTCTGACCATCTCTCTGCCCCTCTCTTGGCTTCTCTGCCCCTCTCTCGACCACTCGGTTCTAATATATGCTTGTATCGCTTTCCACCCATCCCTCATGTATGGACAGGGGCACTAGGGTGCAGGACCAGTGCGGACACTTCTTCACGGCATATCTGGCACTCTATCGGTACGTCTCTGATTATCCTGAGAAGTCACTGGGTACGAAGTACCCATGTTCGTTGTGCAAGGTACTCAGGGATGTTTTAGCTTCCTTCTCTACACTGAACGAGTATCGCACAACGCAAGAACAATCCGGCATCGTGGAAGCCTTAAAGGCACGGCGGCGTGGGCAGCCATATCCCCAAACCTTCTCAACCCATCCTGTCCATGTAGGTTGATCGCTTTATGAACGCCAACCCGTGTTTTCATTTGAGTATCAACCTAGACACTTATATCCCTGTCCTATTCTTTTCCAGTGTGCACTACACGGGTTTCGCTTCGAATCGAAGATTTGGGGCAGCCCATACATGGTGGTGATGCCGGGTTTGATGCACCAAGCCGACCTCGGGATGTATGATCACATTATTTTAGCATTACATAGTGTCATTGACAACAAGCATCATGCAACAATTGACGGGTATGATTTCTTGTGATTACAATCTATTCAACGTCAATAGTGATAATGTGCATAACCTTTTTACGTGTCTGATCTGACCCCCCGCTGCAGAATTCTTAAACGCTTCAAAGAATCATGCAGAGTTGACGGAATGCGCCTCTCATCGGGTGAATACTTCCGACTAGGAGCGTCATTCCAAGCCTACGAGCATAGGTCTGTCATGCAGGTCTTACCTTTCCTCATCCGAG